CCAATTCCAGAATCCCAGGATCACTCGGGACCGGAGCTGAAGGCAGACAGACCGTCAACCAACTGCACCAAGCAGGCGCCCCAAATATTAGATACACTGGCAAAGCTGAGATAGGTATGTTGTATGATGCTAATGCAGTGTCCTTAACATATTAATATTTTTAGTGAAGAAGAGAGATGGAATTGTGTTAGGAACCTCCAAGATGTCCCCAGGGACCACCACGGCCTGGTATATACACCCTTGCATAGAACTTCCTACGCTGGGGGCGACTGGGTGGCTCAGTCATTAAGCTTCTGCCTTCCGCTGGAGTCATGATCCCAGCTCCCTGGGATCAAGCCCCTCATCGGGCTCCCTGCTCAGCAGGAAGCCTGCTTCTCCCTCTCCCACTCCCCCTCCTTGTGTCCCCTCTCTCATTGTGTCTCTCTGTCAAATAATAAAAACAAATAAAAAATAAGCATCACTTGTGCAGGGGTGCCTGGGTGGCTCAGATGGTTAAGCAACAGACTCCCAGTTTGTCTTGATTCTTGCTCAGGTTGTGAGATTAAGCCTTGATTTGGCTCTGCACTCAGCAGGGAGTCTGCGTGAGGTTCTTTCCCTCTGCGCCCCTCACCCCCAGTCCCTGCTCCCGTGCTCGCTGTCTCACTCTCTAAATAAAGAAATCTTAAAAAAAAAAAAAAAAAAAAAAAAAAAGTCGCGGGGCGCCTGGGTGGCTCGGTGGGTTAAAGCCTCTGCCTTCAGCTCAGGTCTTGATCCCAGGGTCGCAGGATCGAGCCCCGCATCGGGCGCTCTGCTCAGCGGGGAGTCTGCTTCCTCCTCTCGCTCTGCCTGCCTCTCTGCCTACTTGTAATCTCTGCCTGTCAAAGAAATAAATAAATCTTAAAAAAAAAAAAAAAAAAAAAAAGTCGCATACCCTACTGAATGAGCCAGCCAGGTGCCCAGCTTTCAGATTCTTGACCACAAAAACTCTGAGATGTTTATCGTTCGAAGCTACTGAATTTGAGTACTTGTTAAGCAGCAACAGATAACAGATTGTCAGTTAATTCCTTAGAAGGCTCTTTATAAAACCTAAACCAGATAGAGAACATCTCCCTAACTAAAGTGCTTCAAGCCTTCATGTTCATGGACAAAAACCTAAACTCCTTGTATTAGTGCACTCACACTCCGGCTTCTGCCTACACCTTTTTACCCTCACCTGGTTCTACTCTCCACCTACTTAAAATCACAGGACTCCTCTGAGATCATTAAAGAATATAATCTCTTTTTTACTTTTGTATTTGCTGTTTTCTCTGCTTAGGAATGCTCTTCCTTGCCTTCTAGAGACTTTTCTGGCATTCTTGGCTCCCTTTTGTCCCTCAGTTCACAGCTTAAATATTCCCTCCCCAGAGAGGCCTTCCCTGATGACCTGATCATGAGAATGCCCCGGAAAGTTCCCATTAAACAGAGGAACAAGATAAGGAGGCCCTATTCAAAGCCATATAAAGCTGGAGTTAGTCTATTTGACTATCTGCATTAAATGAAAGAAAGAAATTAATAACACAAAATTTGGAAAGGAGAATTAAACTTGTCACTATAGACTACATAATTGTACTTCTTTTCTCTTTTTTTTTTTAGATTTGTATTTATTTGTTAGAGAGAGAAAGAGACAGCACAAGCAGGGAGAGAGGTCGAGGAAGAGGGGGAGAGGGAGAAGCAAGCTCCCCACTGAGCAGGGAGCCGGACACAGGGAGCAGGACTCTGGGATCCTGACCAGAGCCAAAGGCAGACACTTAACTGACTGCGCCATACAGGTGCCCCCGACTGTACTTCCAATACACAAGAAAAATAAACTGAAAAACCAGAAACATGTAAATTCTAGGAACAAAACTTCAAGACACCTCTGAAGGAGGGGCATGGGGTTGGCTCAGTTGATGGAACATGTGACTATTGATCTCGGGGTTTGGAGTTCTCTACATATTGAGTGTAGAAATTCCTTAAAAAAGGAAACAAAACAAAAAAAAAACAACAACGACAACAAAAACACCTCTGAAGGACAAAAGAAGGCATTAGCCAATAGAAAAGTATACTATCTAGGATAGAAAGACCAAACATCAAAGAGAATTCAATTCCCAAAATTTTCTGTGGAATGTGGTTCCACTAATAATACCAATAGGGCTTTATTCTTGCAATTAGACAAGATGATTATTAACTTACAGAAAAATAAGTCAAGAAAAGTCAAGAAATTTCTGAAAATTAAAAGGAAGAATTACCTCTATCAGATATGAAAACATAAAACCTAAATAATTAAGAGTTATTCGATGCTTATACAGGAGACACATAACATTGGGATAACAGAACTGAAAAAAAAAACATAAACAAATACAAATCAGTGGAGAAAAGATGGACAATTAAGTAAGTGGTGTTGGATGGCTGGGTAGTCATCTGAAAAAATGTAAGTTGTTACCAATATTCTACACACACAAAGTGAATAAAATAGTTAAATGCAGAAAAATGAAATTAAAATACAACAAAAAGAAATGGAAGATTTATAAGCGAGAACTGGTAGATTTTTCTAATTGAGACACAATATACTAAAATCATAAAAGAGCAGATGAAAAATGTTTTTCATCTTTCAAATTTTTTTCTCAACTTAAAAAAAATTTTTTTAATGTAAAATTTAATTTAAAAAACCTGGATGTTAAAAACAATGACAAACTGGAAATCTATCTGCAACTTTTATCACGAATGTCAATTTTCTGAAGGGGCTCCCATAAAATCAATAGAAGACTAAAAAATGGGCAATGTGTACATTATTTCCTACTTTAAAATGCTCTGAATAAGCCATGTTATTTTTTCAAAAGAGTGAATGAAACAAAAAATAAACACTCTGGCCATTGTTTAGGTATTTCTTCATCCAAACTATTACATATAGAGTCTGACTGATAAGAGTGTTTTGTGGGGACTGAGTAAAGGATGTATCTTCATAACTGAGTTAACACAGAATGAAAATCAGTGCATGATAGGACAAGAGACTGATCCATGAAATGAGGAAACAATAGTTCAAAACTAGTGCGAAGCATTATTAAGGAAATTTTATTTAGTTCTTGAGAGGCAAGGTGACCCCAGCAAACATTATGTGTCCCTGGAGGGTAAAGCAAACTGTTCTCAGCAAACCTCTGGGCCAATTTCTTTCCGTCTATAAAATGAAATGTCCAGTAGGTTTTAATTCATGTTTGCATCCCCAATACCTAGCCTAAGTCCTGGCAATCAATTAAAAAGTATTCAACAAGCACGAGTTTCTTCACTTATTTTTCTCATTCTAAAATGGTTTTTTTTCCTTCTAAAAGTCACCCACATTGTAATAAATTGAAGGCAGTTTATCTTAATTGGTAATTGATTCTATTTCATGTAACAGAAAACCCGCAAATAGCAGGTTTTAAATAAGTAAAAAAATAAGTAAGTAGAAATCTCATGTTAAAGAAATTCAGATTTAAGAAGGGCTGTGGTTGGTACGGCAGCTCCATTGGTATCACCAAGAATTTGGGCTCCTATATTTCTTCCCACTATCTTAGTATGTATCTCCCACTATCAAGTCAATCTAGGCTTCCAGGTAGCTATTGGAGCTCCAGGCATTAAATCCAAGTTCTACAAACGTTGAGTGAAAGGAGACAGACACAAGAGAGCATATGCTATATGATTCTAGTTATATGAAGTTCATTCGAACAAAAACAAACGTAATGGAGGTAAGTGTCAAAATAGTAGTTATCATTATGTGGACTCATGGCTTGGGAAGGACCATGAGGAAGGCTTCTGGGTGGCTGAAATGATTATATTCTTCTCCGTATAGTGTTATACACATGAAGAATAACCCTGATACATACATTTATGAATTGTGCACTTTACTCTATGTAAGATAGCTAAATGAGGTAAGATCCAGATCTTTGAGCTCATGTGTATTTTGACAAGACTAGACTTAGATCTAGATTGAATAAACGAAGCATTCTAAAGTATTTAGTACTCATTGTGTAGCTCTTCGTGCTTGTAACTGTGGTCACCTCCCAAAGCTGGACAAGTAACTAAGACGAACGGTCTGGTACTAGAGTAGCTATGGGTGTGGCAATTGTCTTGCTTTAGGAATGAATACATGAATTTAAATCCTACCTCTGTTTTGCATTTACCGTTTTGCTCCAGAAGAGGTACGAAACTAATGATCTTTCCCTTATTCAAAATCCTAACGGAGTCCTTGTAGAAGGATTTATGAAGCAATGTATGTCAAGTTCTTAACATAGTGTCTGATATGTAATAAAATGTAGTTGCTATTACTTTATTACCATTGTTACCATCATCACTATTAAAAAAAAATGTTTTTTTTACATCATCATCGTTATTAAGAAATGATGGTATAGGGATCTCAAATGATTCTATGGTCAAAAATTCCAAATCGACTGGTTAATATCCTTGTAGATATGAATATCTTATTGAAAATACACATTTGGCTATGAACTTGTTTTCCACATGAGAACTTCCTAAAGAAGCAGAATCCAGTTCTTCTTATGGTTCTCTATGTTTAGAAAACTCAAAGTACTTATGGAAACTGTTTAGGGAGCATGTCACAAAAAATTTAGTTTGCTTTCAGAATCGTATGACCCTCATTAAGGTGCTCCTGTGGATAATGATTTGGAAATAATCACAAAATACAGAAACAGATAAAAGTTAGGAAACAGTATGTTCAGTTTAGTACCATTTACTTATGCTATCCAGTTATAACTGCATTAAAAGATCCTGGAAAGTACACAAGATACTGGTAAAAGTGGTGACCTTAGGGAGATGAAGATCACTTGGTAATAACTGAGAACTTCTGTTCATAAAAAACCCAGGCCAAGATAGTTAGCTACCTTATTATTTCCCAGGGAATAATGAGAGTGGATAATTCTCTAGTCCACATTTTCAGGGAAAATAAACTGATTGATTTTATATGTGGAATAAACTCGTTTTTGAAAAACACATAAGTACAAAATACTTACCCACTTAGCAATTGGACACCCATGAGAGCTTTTTCCTTCTTTTCCCGTGTACACTACAATTTCTATTCTTACTGCATTTCCTTTTTGACCATACCTGAGTACAAAACACAGTGAAGGGAAAATAACTGCAATTAATTGCGATATACCCTTTTAGTATCTTAAGGTACAGAAGATACAGGCTTACAGAAGTACATAAAACCCAACACCCTGTTTGTTAAAATTTACATTTGTTCGAAATTTACTTTTGTGTGGCAGATGTTTTTATTTGTTAGCCCATTCTCCTTACTTATCCTTAGAGATCTCTCGTTTAAAAAAGGACTGGCTCCAAGATAAGCATTAAGGAATGTGAACGCAGTGTGGTTGGAGGTAATTTTAACTACTTCTATCATTATACAAGGATATAAAAATAAGTATTTCTGGATTTAACAAAGAGAGCCTTGCTTTGTGACTTAGTGGGGACACCAGGACACTACTGTCTTCCTGGGCCCTGAGAAACATCCAACTTATACTCCTGAAGGCTTTCCATTCACTTCTCATTTGTTCCCAGAGATAGTCTCTGCATTGAGTCAGGTGCACAATAATGAATGATTTTTAACAGGGAAGGGAATTTCCTCACCTATTCTCCATGATTTCCCTGACAGCAGCAACACTTGGTCCTGCCCCAAGGTGTGTATAATATGGGCCTTTGTCTTTTTGTATAACTCGATCTGTGGAAGGAATAAGATTATTAGACCCAAAGCTTACAGAATCGCACAGGGGCAAGGAGGAGCTATTTTTATTAATTCTTTTTTTTTTTTTTTTTCAATTCAGAACAATTTATCTTGACAAGGTTTTGGTAAACTTTAATAATTAAAGTCTAGGACAAAAGGCCCTAGAATTTAACTTGTTTCTTTCTTACAGCCCCTAACTATTTAATTCTTCCTCTAAGCATCAGAGGAGGAAAACAAAAAATATTAAGATGTGGGTCATATTTCTTCTCCTATCTCCTGCTTTAAAAGAAATCTATTAATAATTAAGGTGCAAAATTAAAAGTTTTCTAAGAGCAATACATCTCTAAAAGCTTGGCCTCAGAATCTGAATAAAACTGAGCCCAGCAACTGCACTGCTAAGAGTTTATTCTACTATACACTCACATAGTTATGTATCTGTAAAGCAAATGTACAGAGGAACGTTACTTGTCACAATTATTTGTAGTATCAAAAAAGAAAGAGAAACACACTTGGCACTTGGCACTAAATGATAAGTTGACTAAATTAAGGGATGTTTATATAGTGGAAAACAATAAAACTATTAAACAAGTATTTACAAACTTTGGGATGCCTGGGTGGTTCAGTCAGTTAAGGGTCTGCCTTCAGCTCAGGTCATGATCTCGGGGTCCTGAAACAGAGCCTGGGTCAGGGTCCCCGCTTAGCAGGGAGTCTGTTTCCACCCTCTCCCTTTGCCCCCACCCCTGCTCATATTCTCTCAAATAAATAAATAAAATCATTAAAAAAAAACCCCAACCCTATTATTTATAAACATAGAAAAACCTGAGATTTCATTAAATTTTTAAAAAAGCAAATTGCGAGCATAGTATATTTTAAAAGGCCTAAATTTTCTAAAACTGCAAGCAAAAATAAAATAATAACATTAAGGATGCCTGGGTGGCTAAGTCAGTTAAGGATCTGCCTGCAGCTCAGGTCATGATCGCAGGGTCCTGGGGTCAAAGTCCCGCTGCAGGCTCCTTGTTGAGCAGGAAGCCTGCTTCTATCTCTGCCTGTTGCTCCCTCAGCTTGTGCGCTTGCTCTCTCTCTCTTTCTTTCTCTCTGACAAATAAATAAAATCTTTAAAAAATAATAATTAAAAAAAGAAAGAAGTGGGGCGCCTGGGTGGCTCAGTGGGTTAAGCCTCTGCCTTCAGCTCAGATCATGATCCCAGGTCCTGGGATCGAGGCCCGCATCGGGCTTTCTGCTCGGCAGGGAGCCTGCTTCCCCCTCTTTCTCTGCCTGCCTCTCTGCCTACTTGTGATCTCTGTCTGTCAAATAAATAAATAAAATCTTTAAAAATAAAATAAAATAAAATAAAACGCCAGCAGTGCTCAAATTGAGGAACCATGATCCAGAGGTTAATCACACTCAGTCTGCTATAACACAATACTTCCATGGAAATCTTTTTTTAAAATTAGACTGTTATTTATTTATTTCATTTTAGAGAGACAAGAGTTGAGTGTGCAGGGGGAGGGGCAGATCTTAAGCGGACTTCAGATCAAGACCTGAGCCGCACACTTAACCAACTGAGCCACCAAGGTGCCCCTTCAGGGAAATCTTTTACACTTAGATATGATCATTCCACTTGGGATGATTTCTGAGTGGCTTTTTCAGCTTTGTTGTTGTTGTTTTAAAGAAGGCTCCATTCCCAGCATGGAACCCAATGTGGGGCTTGAACTCATGACTGCATTTCAAGACCTAAGCTGAAATAATCGGGTGCTTAACTGACTAAGCCACCAGTCAGCCCTGCTTTTTTGTTTTTCTTAAGTTCTCATTTCTACACAATGAACTCAATTACCTCACATGTAATGATTATAGGAAAACATTAACAATGTATAAAACAATCACAGGTCCACTGCAGATGCTCAATAAATTTTCAATGCCTAGGTGTCTCAACTCCTACAAGGTGACTAGTTATAATGTAATATATAAGGAAAGAAACTAGATTGTCCTGAAACTAGACAATCATTCTACTGACATTATGCACAGAGTAAAATTAGACTAGCTCGGGTGTATACATTCTTTTTTTTTTTTTTGTAAAGATTTTATTTATTTATTTGGCAGAGAGAGATCACAAGTAGGCAGAGGCAGGCAGAGAGAGAGGAAGCAGCAGGCTCCCTGCTGAGCAGAGAGCCCGATGCGGGGCTTGATCCCAGGACCCTGGAATCATGACCTGAGCCCAAGGCAGAGGCTTTAACTCACTGAGCCACCCAGGTGTATATATTCCAATGGCATTTTGTTTTGAGGGTTTTTTTTCCATTTGTAATGATATTCAGAAAAATTCCGTCCCTTTCTTAATTCAGATTTTCAAAACAAGAGGAAGGAGGCTAAATACACAGGCTCTGAAGTTGAGACTGTCTTTGAATTCCAGTTTAACCATTCACTAGCTGGGACCCTTCCAGTGACTTAGTTTCCTCACTTGTAAAATGAAGATAACACACGTTCCTTTTGCAGGCATGTTATAAATATAACAAGTCAAGGTCATGGCACAGTATCAGACTTGCAGTAACAGATCTGGAATAGGAGTCATCATTACTGTCCTCTTCTGTCCTTGCTCAAAGAACCTCTCATTCTCCCAATTCAACCCCACTCAGCACTGTCACCCTTTTCAGATTATGAGATCCTTCTAAAAAGAGCCTATCCCTGGGGCCTGGCACACAGTAGGCTGTCAAAACTGTGTTCAATGATGCGTGGCAAAGTGGAAGCCTTGATTTCAGAGTATCAAATGTACTTTAGATAATTGAGAGCAAAAAGTCACTGCTACACTTCACTATTTTTTCTACTGTTGTTAAAAAAAAAAAATCAAAATGATATAGTTTATCCTTCCAAACAATCATTTACCCATTCTGGAATGTACTAATGAACCACCTACGTCAGGCAAAAAATTTTCCTTTATGATTTGGGGCTATATTTTAAGACTTTTAAAAATAAGACTGTTTTATTTTATTTTAAAGGGGTTTTTTTTGTTTGTTTGTTTTTGTTGTTCTGTTTTTTTGACAGAGAGAGACAGCCAGAGAGGGAACACAAGCAGGGGGACTGGGAGAGGGAAAAGCAGGCTTCCCACAGAGCAGGGAGCCCGAAGTAGGACTTGATCCCAGCCCTGGGATCATGACGGGAGCCAAAGGCAGGTACTTAACAACTGAGCCACCCAGGTGCCCCTATAAGACTGTTTTAATAATTAAACCTATTTGAGTTCAAAATAGGATATTTCACAAATTCTCTCCTAATAAGTTGTATAAAACCTGAAATAATGAGGACATCAAGCAGCCTAACAAACTTTAATGACAAATCTCTTTAATCTCCTAATTACAGTTGTGTTAGAGTAAATTAATTCTTCTTTTATTTGAGCACTTACATGAAATTTGACCACAGACAGTGACTAATCACTACAGGGTTCAAATTTAACTTTCATGTATTTCAAATACTGAGCAAATTTCTTGTAAGGACTGCCTAAGAATCATTAGTCCGGTTAGTTTTCTCAGGGCTTTTAACACATTGATTAAAAACTTCAATAATTAGTTCCTAGCTGTTCTCTTTCAATGACTCCTAAGGCACAAAATATATATCAGCTATAAACTGCTCCATAAATCAGCTACTACCATATCTATTTTTTTTAATAGGCAATCAGTATTATACAATGATTTCTTATTTTAAAATTCCAAAAGGTTTACAAATTCTTCAATGGCCAAGACTGGAATTTCATTTATAGGGACATTCTTTGTATCACAGAGCAGAAAAGCACCAGGCATTGAAAAAGAAACAAACCCATTCCGGTTCTTGAATGGGGTGGTAATTACAGACACTTCTTATAGCTATTTGTTAAGTTGCACATATGTTTTACATTCTGTGTATGTATATCATATCTCACAATAAAACACATTTTTTAAACAAAATGCTTATAGGTTGAAATTCTTTTAAATATAGGAAGAATAAACTCTAATAGAATACTGAAGGAATTCAATCTTACGATATGCACAATAAATAATTCAGGAGACATTTCGCCAAGAGAAATCAGCAAACCTTCCACTTGAGAAAGTCTCCAAATTATGAGTTAAAAATTTCCCAATTAATTGAGCAAAATCAATAAGGGTGCAACAGAAAAACAGGTATAGAATTCAGTCCATTTTTGCCAGAATACGAATGGGGCAAAAATGCCACATATAAAAGATAACCCAAAATTGGATATGGTCACGACAATTAATGGAGGTAAACAAAGAATTCATGTGCACGCGCGCGCGCGCGCACACACACACACACACACACACACACACACAGGCACACAGGCACATGTGCACACACTTACCGAGACAGTTGCAAGTTGGCAATTCAGAATCTTTCGTGGTGGACACCAGGTTTTTTGTAGGATTGGTAAAGAAGTTCATGGCATAATCATTAAAACTTTTCTGTGCACTGTCTACCGGGGAAAATTCTGATGCTCCAACACTAGATGAACAGATGTCCTCTTCGCTCTTCGTCGAAACCACGGTAATCCCACCTGAACATACTACATTGACATTCCTGAGAATTTGTGCTGGGTCTGGTAAAGGGGTTTCATGGGAGATACCAGGCAATGTTGACAGTTTCTGATGCATGAGTTGGTCTTGAACATCCCCCTGGATCTGTGTTTGGTCATTGCCAGCCATTACGTTAGCACACTGGTTAGGAGAGGAGGGCTGGAATAAAGGGTGAGCTTTCTGATTGACATTCACTGTTGGCTGTACCTGAGAATGATAAACTTTTTCTGTAAACGCCTGCCCACTGGATTCTGTTTTTAACTGGCATACTGGGAGAGAATCCAACGGTTCAACCTTCATGTTTCTTTCCTGTGCTAATTCGGGATAATAACGCTCAAATTTTATCTGAGTGAGTGGAGGAAATAATTTTTTGTGTTCTAATGCTGAACTCCTTCGAGTCAGTGGTTTCCATACTTTGGTTAGGGGAGGAATTTTCCCCAACAGAATGGGAAAATCATGTGGACCAAATTGACCAAATCTTTGAAACTTAGATGCTATCCAAATGTCATGTAACTTACTATACTCATATGACAACTGTTCCTGTTTTTTCTGGTCATTTTCTTGACAACTTATGACTACAGGCTTCTTTTTCCGCCGATCTCTTGATGGGGTAGCTCTTGTCTTTTTCTGTGTTGTGTTCTTTTGCTTTGTCAATGATGAGCTATGGTTATTTTGTACACTGGAAGATTGTTTCTGTTGTATTGTGACCTTCTCCTGACTACACTTTTGCTGTACATTATATGCAACAAGGCTTGTTGGTGTACTTTCAACCTTTTTGTCTTCTTGTTTTATGTAATTGAATTTAATTATTGACGCAAGTTGTGTTAACTGCGTTGCAACGTCCTCCTCTATTTTGCTGTGTATTGTATTCAGACACGATGGATCATCTTTTAGGTCTATCTTTTTACTGCTGGCCAGTGACTGATTACAATGCCCCAATTTATCACCTGTTGGTGGCAACTGATGCAAATTCTTAGAACTATCAAGAGTAATTCTACCTTGAGCAACATTTTTACTGGTGTCAATTTTAGATGAATTTGAATTTGGTATGAAATGAGGGACTGAATTTGTGACTTTTGAATATTCCTGCGATTTTGAAGTTGTCTGGTTAGCAGCTGAGCTGTTGTGTGACTTGGAAATGTTTTGCCCATTGAATACCACCGTGTTGCATGAACTCTGCTTTTCCAAAGATGGATAGTGATGAAGGCTTTCTGGCACCCCTTGTAAGTTTGGGTCTTGGAGGTCTTTTCGTACAGAATAGAGGATAGCTTTACAGCTATTAAGCAAACTCGCTGTTCTGTGTTCTGTTTCTTCATCCTTCTCTGACTTTGATGGTGAGGAATTTTCTGATGGGGCTTCTGACAGTTGGGTGAGAGCTTCTATGGCCACGACTTGCTCCAGCGTTAGTCTCCTATCTTTCATTAGGGATAGAAGACTTGGTTGAACTGGAGAACCATCTTTTGGTTCTTTACTTGGTATATTTTCCAGAGATTTGGGTTGATCACTTTCATTGTGTGTACTAGTATGACTATTTAAGTTGAAAGTTGCAGGATCTGGAAAAGACTTGCAGTTAAAGCCAGATTTCTGGAAGACTGAAACATTACTTCTTCCTTTGAGATGATCACAGCTCGCACTAGTGGCAATAGAACTCATGGCATTATGGTTGGCAGTGTCTTTCAGGAATTTACAGGAGTTGTTTTCAAATGCCTTGCCAAATTCTTCAATATTGAATTTTTTAAAAGACACATTTGTTTCGGTTGGTAAATAGTGTACATTTTTAATGCCATTTCTTACGGTTTGTGCAAACAATTTCTGAGGCTCAATTAAATCAGTAAGTAGGACTTTTTTCCTGTCATCTTCAGCATTTTTTAATTTTTCAGCTTCTGTCACAATTGCCTTAAATTCACCTTTGACATGATCGGTTAAATGTGATTTCTTGTTTTGCGTCCACTTCTCCACTTCAATACCTGTCATACTTTCTTCATTTTTAGTCACATTTTCGAGAGGAGGTGGGTTTAATTCCAATCTCTGTTCCCCCCCATAGCTCCTCCTGTATTCCATGGATTCTGACTTGGGGCCATTTACTAGTTTGTTGACAAAATCTGCCTACAAAATAAACACAGAAATATCTCATATTATCTATGCAAATATTGGAGTAAGAGCCACAGGAACATTTTGATTTAACATGAACGAAATGTAAAGCCCCTGAAAAAAATATTAATTTTTCTTTTTATGTTTTCAATAAAATACCAAAGGGGTGTGTAGGGAAAAAGAAAAAAATTGAAGTAAAATTTCATTAACTCATACCTGTAAAGATTTTGGTAGACTCATTTGTTTTTCAAAATAATGTGTGTGTTTTTTGTTTTTTGTTTTTAAGAGAAAGAGAGTGAGGAAGTGTTGGGCGGGGGGTGGGGGGGTGGGGGCTGACAGGGTTGTGAGGGGCAGAAGGAGAGAATCTTAAGCAGGCTCCTTGCTCAGGGCAGAGCCCAATGCAGGTCCAACCTCATGACCTTGAGATCATGACCTAAGCGGAAATCAAGAGTCTGGATGCTTAACTGACTAAGTCACCCAGGTGCCCCTCCAAATAAATCTTTAATATTTTTACACTGGTACCATTTGATGGCCAATATCGATTATCTTAATGCAAACTGTACTGAAATACAAAATACACACAAAAAGGTGAACAAATCCCAAGTAGAGAGCTTACTCAATTTTCACAAATGAACCCCCAAGTGCCCAGATTCCAGCCAAGAAACTCCCATCTAGTCATCATTCCACTGCCAAAGGGTAACCATTATTTTGACATCTATCACAGATTTCTAAACTTGACAAAACTGACTTCCTTTCATTCAAATTATACTTGTGATTCATACATGCCTCAGTCCATTGATTCATACAATTTTTTTTAAGGATTTTATTCATTTATTTGACAGGCAGAGATCACAAGCAGGCAGAGAGAGAGGTGGAAGCAGACTTCCTACTGAGTAGAGAGCCTGATGCGGGGCTCAATCCCAGGACCCTGAGATCACGACCTGAGCCGAAGGCAGAGGCTTAACCCACTGAGCCACCCAGGCGCCCCTGATTCTTACTATTGTATGGTAAATCCACCGAGTGAAAATATTACAGTGTATTTACTGACTGTACTGTATATGGACATTGGAGTTATTTTTGGTTGTATACCACTGTAAGTGCTACTGTAATCTTTGGAAGTGCTGGGTTATCAAGTGTGTGTACGTTAACTTCAGCTTTAGTAGACAGGCCAAAGAATTTTCTAAAGTGGTTATCAACATGCACTCCCAATAGTAATTATGATCGCTCTAACTGTTGCACATTCTCACTATCAGTTAGTATTTTCTGTCTTTTCACGTAAGCCAATCTGTTTAGTGGGAATGATCCCTTAAAAAAATTTTTTTAGATGAAATGCCTACAAAATAAGATTAATCAGTTTACCTTTTAAAACTGTACAATTAAGGGTGTGTTTTTTTTTTAAGATTTTATTTATTTATTTGACAGACAGAGATCACAAGTAGGCAGAGAGGCAGGCAGAGAGAGAGGGGAAAGCAGGCTCCCTGCTGAGCAGAGAGCCTGATGTGGGGCTCGATCCCAGGATCCCGAGACCACGACCCGAGCTGAAGGCAGAGGCTTAAACCACTGAGCCACCCAGGCGCCCCTTAAGGGTGGTTTTTAAACATATTTACAATGTTATGCAATAATCACCTCTATCTAATTCCAGAACGTTTTCATCACCCCTAAAAGAAACCTTGTACCCATTAAGCAATCACTCTCTATTCCCCCTACCAATCCTTATTTTTAAAACCCAACAGCTCATCTAAAATTACAACGAGGAATTGAGACAGTAGGGGCATTTCCAACTGCTGTTGCGAGCGAATGTAAAGTTAACCTCCACCTCCTAATCTCTAGTGTGGCTCTGGACCTTCTATTCAATGACTCAGGGAGAGAAAAATATAAGATCAGGAGACTTCCTATTGAATGAAGGTGATATACCTGAGTCCAGTACTGACTGAAAAACTAAACCAAAGTTCATAATAGCCATAAAATATGTAAGCATTACCCAATTGTATAATTAAACATTAAACAATCTGTTCTTCACATTAAAAAATCTTAGTAGAAATAAACTATATTTAACTTTTTTTTTTTTTAAGATTTTATTTATTTGACAGAGATCACAAGTAGGCAGAGAGGCAGGCAGAGAAGAGCAGAGCAAGCAGGCTTCCTGCTGAGCAGAGAGCCCTCTGTATGCAAGGCTCCATCCCAGGACACTCAGATCATGAGCTGAGCTGAAGTCAAAGGCTTAACCCACTGAGCCACCGAGGTGCCCCTATATTTAACTTCTTGATCAAGGTACACAGGTTACACAGTTTATGTTCAGCTTATCAAATTTCATCAAAATATACAATTATCACACATACATATTTTGTATGTAGATTACATTTCAATAATAACTTTAAAATAAGAAAAAGTAGAAAGCAGAAAAAATAGTCCCAAGCAAGAGTAAGAAATGAGAAGCCAGAAAGGAAAAAAGTATTTTCACTACATATAATATGAACAATTACTTTAAAAAGATTTATTTATTTGACAGAGAGTGAGAAAGGGAACGCAAGCAGGGTGAGTGGAAGAGGAAGAAGCAGACCCTGAAGGCAGACGCTTAATGACTGAGCCACCCAGGTGCCCCTATATGAACAATTTTTAAAGCATCATAATATAGTTCTTTGCAAACTGCTGATCAAAATGTACAAGTTCCAATACCAATTTAGTGCTTTGTAACAAGAGCTTTTTCTTAATGGCATAATACAGAAAAATATAAATGCATTACATTTAGTAAAAATAAATATTACAGTGTTGTTCTTTTTTTTTTTTTTTTTTTTTTTTGTATTTATTTAAGTAATCTCTACACCCAATGTGAGGCTTGACCTCACAACCCCAAGATCGAGTTGGATGCTCTTCAGGCTGAGTCAGCAAGGCTACCCTACAATGTAAATCTTTTATGTAATGTGTGTGTATGTCTCTGTGCATTGAATCAGGATGTAAAATGTATTTATTTCTTCATATATAGTTGTAAAAAAGGCAGGAGAAATATTGCCATTAAAAAAATAAAAAAGTCAAAAGATAGTCTGGGAAAATATTCCTACTACATGTAAATAGTTACTATTTTTTTTTTTTTAATTTATTTGACAGAGATCACAAGTAGGCAGAGAGGCAGGCAGACAGAGAAAGGGAAGCAGGCTCCCCACTGAGCAGAGAGCCGGATGTGGGGCTCGATCCCAGGACCCTGGGATCATGACCTGAGCCGGAGACAGAGGCTTTAACCTACTGAGCCACCCAGGAGCCCCTAAATAGTTACTATTCTTAATGTAAGAGCTTCCACAATCAACAAGAAAAGGTAAATGACTCAATAGAAGAGTGAGAAAAAGAGAGGAATATGTCCTTTGCTTAAGTGGAAATCCACAAGATCAAAAGCTGTTTGACTTTCCTAGAAGACAAGCAAATGAAAATAAATGCAACTTTTTAATCCACCCAAATGCCAAAAACTAAAAATGCAGAAATGTAGGTAAGCAAATTATAATGCAATAGGACATTTATACTAGAGAAAGTATGAAATAAAGACACTCATACTCATACTGTGAAATAATGTGCAGCCATTACTTGTATTTATCAGTCTAGTGATTGCCTGGCAAGAGATCCTAAATAAACAAGAGGCTGAAAGCCAGTAGGTAAAACGTTAATACCAGTTACCATGGGGAAACAGAAGGGAAGTTTTTTTTGTTTGTTTTTTTTTAAAGATTTTATTTTATTTATTTGACAGACAGAGATCACAAGTAGGCAGAGAGGCAGGCAGAGAGAGGGGGAAGCAGGCTCCCTGCCGTGGGGAGAGCCCAATGCTGGGCCTGATCCCAGGACTCTGAGACCATGACCTGAGCCGAAGGCAGAGGCTTTAACCCACTGAGCCCCCCAGGTGCCCCAGTTTTGTTTGTTTTACTTGATGCTTTTAATTTTACAAATATGCATACTAAGATACTGGGACTTCAATGTACACATCACTCTAAAGAGAAGATCCTGAGTACCTTTTAAGATTTATGTACTATAAACATAGAACATTCTCATTAAGTAATGAGCTTATTTAAAAACTGACCTTTATCATTCAGTTATATCTCATGTAACATTTTTTTTAGAGAGGGAGGGAGACGGAGAGGGACCAGAGGGAACCCTCAGCAGGCTCCACAGCCAGCACAAGGCATGATGTGGGGCTCTACTTCACCACCCTGAGATAATGACCTGATCTGAAGTGAGAGCCAGACGCTTAACTGACTGAACCACCCAGGCACCCCTTATCTCATGACTGCTTAAAATCATGCGGTTTGAAAACATGGGGTCTATAGGTACACGAGAACATGCTCTACACAATGCCAACTACTAAACGTAACCTTTAAGAAAACAACTTGACATATGACATTTCAGCAGGGACTAGTAAGATTTTCTCTGTCCTCAGAAATCAACCAGAGCTCTTACAAGCAGATACTATTAAATGTAATTGTCTGTGTATGTTTGTATGTGCACTAAGAAAACAGTTACTCAGTTTCACTTGCTCTTCATAGTGAAACTGAGTGGTCAGAACAAACATTTACTGTTACTTGGGAAAAACCAAAAATTCAAGTTCCTGTTGTTAAAGGTGAATCAGCACAACAAACTATATCTTACACGTAGTATTTCAATAAAGCTGTTAAAAGAAAAAAAAAAAAAAAAAAGAGGGGCGCCTGGGGGGCTCAGTGGTTTAAGCCTCTGCCTTCCGCTCAGGTCCTTGATCCCAGTGTCCTGGGATCGAGCCCCCATCGGGCCTCTGTTCTCCGCAGGGAGTGTTTCCCTTCCTCTCTCTCTGCCTGCCTCTCTGCCTACTTGTGATCTCTGTCTGTCAAATAAATAAATAAAATCTGGGTTTTTTAAAAGATTTTATTTATTTACTTGACAGAGATCACAAGTAGGCAGAGAGGCAGGCAGAGAGAGAAGAAGGGAAACAGGCTCCCTGCCGAGCAGAAGCCCGATGCGGGGCTCGATCCCAGGACCCTGGGATCATGACCTGAGTGGAAGGC